AAACTGAATCTTACAGGGTGTATTAGTTTGACAAGGTCTTCTTCAGCATAATTTTTGTTGGTGGACAACTTTCCTAGAATTTCTCATTTTAGCCACTTTGAGATAGCACTATGCTTAGTAGCAATGAGTGCATTCTCATTGTTGTGCAACCATCAGCGCTGTGCAGCTGTGGGACATTTTTCACCCTCCCCAAGTGCCACTTTATGACCTGTCACACCTGAACTTCCCAGGTCTGCATCCTGAAGGCCCTGACAGTCACCATTTTGCTTCCTGGCCCTCTGCATTGGACTCTTCTTGGTGTCCTGTATAAGTGGAATCATAATATTCTTTGGCTTTGGTCATTTGACATGTTGCCTTTAGGGTCAGTCAGTTCTATAGCATATGCCAGGGATTTCATTTTTAAAGGCAGTCACATTGCATGTATCTCATTTTCTGTTTATTCTCTCATTTGTTGATGGACTCTGGGGTGTTTTCTTCCCTTGACTATGGGGAATAGTTCTGTTTTGAACCATCTGTGCAAATATCTCTTCTAGTTCCTGCTTTCAATTATTCTGGATATGTGTGTGGTGATTCTATGTGTAAGTTTCAGAGGAACCCTACACTGTTTCTACAAAATGTGGCTCCATCATTTCACCATATTAACTTTTGCCTCAAGCCTTTCCTCAGACCTGCTTCTTGGTGTGATTGTCTCTTGCTCTCCAGAAATTGCATCCTCTGGCTTCTCCTGGAGCTGCGTAATTCCAGCCTTCTGTCTGAGTAGCCTGAACCTCTTCCTGTTTAGTCCTCTCAGGTGATGCAATTGCACAGAGAATTGCTCATCTGTGACACTCTGTACCATTACACTGCTTGCTTCCTATTAGCTCTAACCATTTCCCTCTATGACTACCTGTTTCTCATTAGCTTAGTTATAATGCAACTCACCAACATCCTATTAGCAATATCACAGTGCAACTACCTACATCTTTTAACTCTACCTATTTTACCCCTACACTGGTCCCTTTGAGTCTGTCATGCATCCTACTTCTATGTGTTTAGCTCTGTCAAATAACCCATTCAGTTACTATATAACCTAATCTCTTAGGAAGATTGTCTGACTTGTCAGCAACCAATTCATCGTTTTTTTTTTTTTTCCTGCCATGATCTGTTAAAACTGATCTCCATTAGGATCTTGTTAGGTTCTGGTATCAGAAACCTGGCAGGCAGTTGGGCATGTTGCTGATTTTAGAGACCCAGCTTTGAATGTGCAGAGTTGAGGGGGGGTTGGGGGTCTCCAGTCCTAAATCACCTCCTTCAGAAGGACCATTTCTTTTGTCAAGATCCTAATTCCTATCAGGCTGTAAGCTGAAGTGAGGGGGCAGGGGAAGGAGAGAGGAGATGAGAGAGAGAAGAGAGGGGGAGAAGATGAGAGGGAATGAGAGAGGGAGAAAGAAGGGAGCAATCAGAGAGCAGGAGGAAGATATGGGAAAGGGGGTAGAGGGGGATGCAGAGAAGGAGAGATTGGTGAGAGAAGGGGAAGGGGGAGGAGAGGGAGGGAAAGGACAGAGGAGGAGAAAGAAGGAGAGAGGGGAAAGGAAAGGGGCGAGAAAAGGAGAAAGGGAGAAGGGAAGAGAGGGGAAGGAGGGGAGAAAGCAGAAAGGAGAGGGAGAGGGGGGAGAGGAAAGAGGGGAATGGAGAGAGGGAGGGAGGGGAGATGATGAGGAGGAGAGAGGAGAAAGTGAAAGGGAAATGGGGAGAGGGATGCAGAGAGGGAGCAGGACAGGAAGGGTGTGAAAGGGAGAGTAAGGCAGGGGGGAGAGACTAGGAGGAGAGGGAGAGAAAGGCAGAGAGAAGGAAGGCACGAAAGTAGTGGGGATGGTGGAACTGCGTGAGAGAGGGTGTGGAAGACAAGCAGGGAAAGACCGGCGGGGAGAGGGCTGCGGTGGGAGGCCGGTGCTCCTTGGCAGGACACACACTTTTTGACAGCATCTTTTTTGTTAATATCTGACAAGCTTGCCTGACAGCTCATCATGGCAGCAGCCCTGGGACCATTGCCAGAAGGACAGACCATTGTGTTTGCTTTCAGTTTTACAGTCCTATCCTCAACTGAACCCTGAGAAGGAGGAGGTGCTGCCCCGAGCCCAACCACTCTCTTGGGCCCCATCAGTGCTCCATGGCCACAGCCAAAAACCCCAAGAGGGTGAGGCCAAGGTTAGGACAGGCCCAGGCATGGGGCAAGTGTTTACAAAGTGTTGGGTGGGAAATGTGGAGAGGTGACTTGGGGGTGTGTGTCTTTCTTGTCATCGTCTGAGGTCAGGAAGGGACAAGGAGTCCTTGGCAACCATCCAGGACACATCAGGATTGCTGGCTGTGGGAACACTTATGCACTGTAAGCTGTGTGTATGCAGTAGAATTCTCAGGTGCCATTGAGTTAATCCCTTTCATTCCATTTCATTGTTTAAGATTGGTTGATTCTAAAGTCAGAGAGGGAGAGACAAAGAGATCTGTCCACTGGTTCATCCTCAAATGGCTGCAACAACCAGAGACAGGCCGGGCAGAAGCCAGGAGTGAAGAGCTTCTTCTGAGTCTCCCAGAAGGATACAGGGGCTCAAGCAGTTGGCCCATCATCTGCTGCTTTCCCAGGTGCATTAGCCAGGAGCTGGATCAGAAGTGGAGCAGCTGGGACTTGAACTGGTACCTGTATGGGATGCTGGCACTGTAGGCGGTGGCTTTCCTACTAAGTCACATTGCCAGCCTGAATCCCTTGCATTTCTAAAACACTTTTGAGAGCAAAACAAGTCTGTGATTCACATGCTTTTTTTTTTTTTCTGTGATTCTGTTCTATAGATGAGGAAGCCAGGGCTTGCTAGAGTGTCATAGTGCAGTCAGAATCATCAGTCTCCTAACTGTTGTCCAGATCCAATTCTGGAGAGCATTTCCAGTAAGTATAGGGATACTTTTAGGGGTCTGGCTGTGGCCCACAAGACACATGACTGCCTCACTTTCGGGAGGTATTGGGAACATCCACTCTTCAGTATCATGTACTCAGCAACTGCTTTCCTGGCTAGGGGCTAACAGGGGATCCCCAGGACACTCACAGATGCCAAGCACAGCCACATCAGGCCCCATTTTGTGACAGGAAGTTGTTCCATTTGCCCACCTCTGCATCTGACCTTTCTGTGTTTCCCAAACACATCCTGGCGTCACACCCCAAACACAGCTGACGTCCAGGAGGTACTTCCTATGCCTGTAGCCCCTCCCCTCATCCTGCCCTCTGAGCCGCAATGCAAGGCGGTCAGAAGGCCTTGGGGTGGCTGGCTCCATCTTGGAGCTTGAAGAAGAGAACTGTCTGTCCTGGGCTTATGTTTCCAGAAACTCAGAATGTGACTTCATTTAGAAACATAATCCTTGCAGATATTATTGTTTACTGAGCTTAGAAAGAAGTCATCCTAGATTGAGTGTGAGCTCCATATCTGGGATCCTGGAATCCACCTAAAGTGAGGAGAGGAAAGGACAGAACAATGTGGAGAAGGTGGCAGCATGAAGATGGGGACAGTGACTGTGGCGATGGCACCTCAGGTCAGTCAGGAGCCCCAGAAGATGGGGAAGGGTTTGTCCCATATCTTCAGAGGGAGCGTGGCCCTGCCAACACCTCAGCTTAGAACTCATGCCTATAGAACTCTGAGAGAATAAGTCTGCTGTTTGAAGCCATTATGTCTGCTGATCTGTGAGTGTGGTTATAGGACAGGCAGGTGGGGACACATGGCTGGTCCTGGGACCAAAATGCCAGAGTTCCCCTTTACTCTCACCTGCCGGGTCTGGGAGAGTCTGTAGTGAGCCAGTGTGTATGGGAAAGTTGAAAACAGGAGTTAGGAAGAAGACCTGGGTTGGACTTTCCCATTATCCCTCCAACCTTGCTGGAGAGAGGCTTCTCTGTCTCCTTACCACCATTTCTGCACCTTTCACTGGTGCCCACCGTATGCCAGGGATTTCTGCACCTTTCACTGGTGCCCGCCGTATGCCAGGCACTGTGTAAGCCTTCACATCCTTTCACTCAGATCTTGGACGGATTAGTGAGGGAATTGTTCTATCCCTGGATTTGTTAACCTGCTCAAGGCTGCCTACAGTGCTGGTAGGAGCTAGAGCCGGGATTTGGACTTGTACCTCATCTCACCTGGGAGCCCGCACACCCTTAATCCCGCTGCTGTAGCAACCTACAGTGTTGTTAATAACAGTAGCAGCTAATGGTTGACATAGCAAGAAGAGAGCCTTCCAGAGTGCTATGCCCCTTGGGGGTTGCAGCCACATCACGTGACTCCTGCTGTTTGAATGGCCTGTGCTGATCATGTGACAGGTGGTTTCTCCAGTAGCTTGATTCTGCCCCTTCCCATCTGACAAATCCTTGCTCATCTCACATTGTGCAGTATAAATGGATTCTGTACCCTCCATTCGCTAACACAAATCCTATACTTGTGCTGGGGTGAGTGGGAGTCTCTTTGCCACAGGACTGGGTTTCAATGTTGGTTTCTGACTCTGTGGCTCTCCCAAGTGCTCAGTGTAAATCTTTGAATGAGTGAAGCACGTTGACAGCAGGAAGATGAGTGAGTGATAAATAGCATGAAAGGACTGTTGAGAATGAAAAGCACAGGTGATCTAAGGCACATATTTCTAGAAGGAACCACTAGGAGTGTTGTGCTTGGAGGTCAGTTATTTGGTCTGGGGTCTGTGTACTTCCAGTGTGCTAGGTCAATCAGTATTTTCTGACTTTCTGAGGTTCTCATGCATTTTTTTCTTTTTTTGGTCATTATCTGCATTAGCCTTCAAATGCACATTCTGAAACAGTTTTCCCAGTTTCTAAGTATGTTTGCATTTGGGATTATGCATCCTGTGTTTCGTGCTGCTCCAAGTAGGAATGTAGGACTCTGCCTGTTGGGTAGAGCAGATCTTGCAGAACATTATCTCCAGTGTGCCAGGTCCTGTCCCAGGCCTTGCTAACTGTTCTTGCATCTCTGCTCTCTCTACAGGCTGGCCGTGGGTGACCCTCTCTGTCCTGGGATTCCTGTACTGCTATGCCCACGTGGGCATTGCCTGGGCCCAGACATACACTGTGGACTAATGCTGCTAGCAATGGCATTTGAGCCTGATCTGCTCTAGGCTGTGCTCCAAGAGACCAGTGCTTGGTCTGCTCCTCTTCTGTTGAACTTGCCTCACTCCAAGACAGAAGCCTGAGAATTCATAGGAAATGTGCAACCAGTCTGCTCATATTGGGGTTGTAGAGATATGGTACCAGCACCATCATTTTCTTGTTGAGTAACATGGAGCCCAGGGCAATAGGGCACTGTACGTGGTTGCACATAATGCTATTTTAGTCTAGAACATAAGGCTACTGGTGCTTTCATCCAAAATTAAATGTAAGGACATTTGGACTCCACTAGGCAGTATTTCTAGACTATTTTGGTGTGATGTCAAGAACCAATCCTAGCTGCTTCACACAGCTAGCTCCTTCAGTAGGGAGGTGACAGAGCTATTTCTCATGGCCTGGTCCAAGAAGACAGCAGTGGGGTCCTGTGGACTTTGTAGGAATCCTAATATTTGAACTCTGGCTGCTTATTCCTGAGACCATCAGTGAAGAATACATACAGTAATAATCATTTAGACAACTGTTTACCAGTAGCGTTCCTGCATGCAGGAACGGATCTACAGTCATAAAAGGTGATGAGCAAGAAGTTTGCTGTGGGCTTGTCTGCCATGCAAGTCCAGTCATGGTCTCCTCGGTGGTTTTATACTGCTTTGTTTGTATTCAAATAAAATAAATCTTATGTTTCATAGATAATTCACATTTTTAATAATCGTCTGGAGTATTTTTTTGAAGAAATGTTTAAAATCCAATCATACTTATGAAAATGGACAACACTAACAGGTTACCAATGGTCTCCAGTGGTCACTAACTCAAAATTTGGCTTTGGGTATTTTGTTTGATTTTTGAAAGAGAGGAGGGATGATAAATCTTTAAAAATTCAAATCCATAGTGTATCCAATGACAGGTTTATATTATCTCAGGCACATGAATTAAGCTGTCATTGAGTGTGACAGTTACTTGGGCTGTATTTGCATCTCGTATCTATGACATGAGACAGTACATTTGTCTCTGCCACAGGTATCAACTCAGTGTGATTTACCTTCTAAAGTGCAAGACCGATCATCTTGTTAACTGTTTTCTTCCTGATGGCTCTGCTTAGGGGAGAGAGTTGGGAGGGGGCCAGAGGTTGGTTGCCTGAGATATACACACTGTGTGTCAGCTGAAGCAAAAACAGAGGCCAGTGAGGGACAGGTAGACATGGACCACACTAGCTGGCAAAGTTAAGAGGGAGGTGTGTGATAGGTGATTCCAGAGTGCTGGAAGGAATGAATAGCTGGTGAGGAGTGGCAGCTCAGATGAATACAGCAAAACTTGATGAACTGCCATGGGTCAGGATTTATGGGCAGAGGGAGAGAGTTTGGATGAAGTTTCCTTGGGAGGGGTTCCTAGGAAAAATGATTGGAGGGGAATATCTAATGTATGTATGTATATAAATATTTTGAGCTTTCCCAAGATGCTATTTATTTAAAACTTATTCACTATAGTATATTGAAAGAGTCCGTGGATGTATTTGCCAGGAATAATCCTCCCTTTCTTTTACAGTACTCTATGATTTAGCATGGTTCTGAGGAGTTGGTCAGAGTTTGCTGTTTAGCTCTGTGTGTGAGGCCTGGCTAACCACCATAGGATTACCCAGGATCACGGTTCTAACTTCTCACCTGCTCCCTAGCACCAAGATGAGAATGGCAATACTGCTTACTTCATGTAAGTGAACAAACTCTTGCAGTTGCTTTAACTGGAAGACTCTTGAACTTCCTGGGCACACCAACTGTACCAACTGAGAAACTTCAGATGTGTCAGCAGCCCCGGGCAGCTCCAGGCATGGCACTGAGACTCAACCAGGGCCCAAGGTCACTTGTAGCCCCAGGATCCTTGGACCTTGACCTAGTTTTGTGAACAAGCCTGAGAACTCCAAGCACCATCATCGCTGCAGTGATGCCCAAGGGGAGAAGCAAGACAACTGGAGGTCAGTTATCCCGCACAAGGCAACTGTGGCAGCCGGGGTGGGAGGTGATGTCTTAGATTTGTTGGAAGTTAACAGCAGAACAGCTCTATTCTAATAATGTCTATAAGCCTAGAGTGAAGTTAGATCATTTCTCTTTCCCTCCCTCCCTCCCTCCCTCCCTCCCTGTCCCCCTGCCCCCCTCCCCCACCTTTCACACACAAACATATTGTTGTAATGGGAACAGAGCAGTTTAGAGGGGAGGGAGTTTAGAGGCATTGAGGCTGCTCATTTAGCTCATTTAAAATAATGGAGCTTCTGACTGCATAGAAGGAGTTAAGCCTAATAAGGTAAGCTTGCCTCTTGCATGGGTCCCAGGGGGCAGCCAGATGTCAGGCCTCACTTCACCGTGACCAGAGTAAGATACCTGCTCATCTTGACAAAGCTTTAAGAACTTTCTTCAGAGAAACCGTTTTCTCTTAAAGCACATCCATAAAAAGCTGTTTTAAAAAGTTGAATCCCGTGTGCTCTCCGGCACCACATGTACTAAAAATGTTCAACTCCCTTGGCCTTGAAAGTGTAGTAACACTTAGTTCTGAATTACCAGTCCTTGTGACTAATGACAGAGGTTGCATTCATGTGAAATTTGGTTCATTGTTGAAGAGAGATAAAGAATGATATTTAATAATGCTTTATAATGGTGACTTTTAAAAATGAACATCAGTAATTTCTAAATCACTCAAATAATTTTTATTCTTTTCTGCATTGTCATTAAATAACAGGGATTGGGGAAAATGGTCCTTAAAAAATTTGTATGCTCATGCGATGGCCCTTAGCATCAAGCAGAGGTCTGGGGCTGGCCTCTTGCTCAGGGTTTCCTGAATTAAAGTTGCAATGTCTTTAGAAGTGCTGTTTTTGAAATATGGCCCACAGGAAATTGAGAATTCAGGTTATGAGTGGACATTTGGCATAGAGTTTAAATGCCAGCTAAAAAGCCCAAATTCCATATTCGAATGCCTGGGCTTGAGTTCCGGCTTCACCTCTGATTCAGGCTTCATGGTGATGTGTGTATTAGGGGGCAGCAGGTGCTAGCTCAAGCAGGTTCCTGAGCTGAGTCCTGGCTCCAGCCACAGCCTCACTGCAGGCATGTGGTACCCTCTCTCTGAGTGAGTCTGTGTCTGCCTGCCTGTGCCTTTCAAATAAATCAGTAGAAGGAATTCAGGCTGGCAGTATTATGTAGTTTTGCCATGAACAAGAAACAATATCTATTCAAATAATTAGAGAACTGAAACCATGTCAGAGTATAAGACTAATTAAGAGTGGTAATCCCATACCTAATAGCTGCTGAAACTACCAATAAAGTACAGATTAAAATTAATATTATTAACACCAAGGCATTCAGGAAAGATTATGCTGTTCCTTTATACCATGTTTTTTAAAAGATAGTGAAGTATTATGTATTTAATAGAAATTTTCATCTAAATTGTTCCAAATAAGTTCACTTGTAAGGGGGGATCGAGACTTCAGATGTTAAACCGGCATGTTACACAATTTCCTAGTGCTGCCTATTTGAGCCTGGTCTTCCCCTGCTGCAAACCTGCCATTTTGTGACCTGGAGAAGGGGAGCCTCTAAGAGGTCATGTGGATCAGGGAGGGATGTCTTTTGCTGGTGGGACTGGGTTAGCTGCAGTAATGGGCAGGTTCTCCTTCTGGAGAAGCAGGATTCATTCCCACCCCCTCAACTCTATGGCTGCCCCTGATGTTGTATTTTCTCTGCACAGGTTTGTTTGACTTCCTGTCTTCACCCTTGGCATGAAGCAACACAGTCTTAACCAGATGCAGCTACCTGGTCACGGACTTGCCAAGAACTGTAAGCCAAAGTAAAGCTCTCTCCCTTGTAAAATACTCCATCTCAGGTATTCTGTGACATCAACAGAAAGAGGACTAAGGCACAGGGTTTGAAGGGATCTCCCTACCCTTCAATAGCAGATACTGCTGTGCCATAAGAGCACTCCCTTCGATTGTCTCACCATACACTATTGCATCACCTTGATATCTCTGAAATGTTCAGTTCTCTGAAAACTACAATCATAAGTGCAGTCCCAACCAGTGCTTCCCAAGCTCCTGAGGATGTTATTTCCCGATTCTGACATTTTAGGTCAAACACCCAATTCAATGACTTAGAATTACATAAGGAAAGACAAAAGCAAAATCATGTATAAAATAGTTTATTACCATAATAAATAAAATTAAACTTTTTTTTTCCTTTTTACAAATATGATTTGTGCTTGTTTAAAAATGTAGAGAAGGGAATAATAGCAATGGAGGGTCCCACACATTCCTCTTAACTTTTCCCGCAACAGACATACAGTGGAGTTCCTGGCCCCATTCTCTGCTCACCACAGCAATAGTATCAGCTCATTTGCACTCTGTTTATTCATGCTTGTTTGAACAAAATTACAGATGCAAAAGAAAAACCCAATAAAGGACTTGGCAGGACTTAATGGAAAGAGTGTTACCATAGGGAGAAGCCCCAGAATGACGAACCACTCATAAGGACTGTCCTTGCAATGTCTGTGAAAAGTGGAGTGGACAGTCTCCAATGGATGCAGAATCAGGGTCTGAATAGGAAGAGAATACATTCAGTAGGGAGGGGTGCATCCTTGTTCAACAGAAAAGAAACCATTCCTATCCTGATGCAAGACCTGTGAACGTCTCATTGAACAACGAAGAGGTCCACTGGAGGACTCTGAAGTCACAGGTAAGAGAGGCAATGGCTCCTAAGTGTGATGGTGGGCAGTGGGCCGGCACCCCCTGCCCCCACGTCTGGCACCTGCAGAGTATTTGGGTCCAGTTCTATGGATTCCAGCGTTAAGTCTGATCTGCTCTTATGAGAATGAAGTTTCACTTGAAACTAATTTAAGGTGTAGGTAAATTCACATTGATCCCTTCAAACCATGAACACCTTTAGTGAGAAACCAGTGCTTCCTCTGATGATTGCAGTGGATGTCGAAAGGACAGTGGAGTCTCTTCCAGGTGGAAGACACAGGAGCTGGTGAAGGGAGTGTCTGCAGCAATCACAACGTTCCAGTGACAGCCGGCTTCCTTGTTCAGCAACAGTAGGTAAGGCGGGAGGAAGGAAGGGGCAGTGGCAGCTCCGTCACAGCTGTAGTTCCATTCACGGGTCTTAAGGCTAAACATCTTTATTGCAAAACAGTACAATCTATTCATCAAGGGCACATCAGTGGCTTATACCTCCGCCCAGGGTTCCAAAGTTTCCCAGAGTGTGAAAGTGGGATGCGGTCACTGCAGCGAGGGGGAGACGAGGCTCAACCCTGACCTAGAATCCCTCAAAAGTTCATTTAGGTTCCCTGCATGCATGGACAGAAAGTATGTCCAATGGCCTATGACTGTGCATTCCCACTTGCAGAGATCATGGAGAGGCTGGATGGAGGAGGGTGAAGTACTGTTGTGTGCCTTGCTCAGCTCTCCCCACTTCAGTAAAGGAAAGGGCCTTGGCCTGCAGCCGCATACAGGCTCAAAGAGGTGGAGGAGAAAACAGATCCCAGGAATCAGACATCAAGCAGAGAAATGTCTTTCCAAAAGTTTGCTGGAACTCTGCTGAGATGAGAATAGCTTTTAAATACCTAGTGGCATCATGTAGCAATGTATTAATGCAATTAGGTGCATTAAGTAGGCACCAGACCACAGCTTCTCACCCAAATGGCTGCCCCTCTCTCCTTCCTTTTGGGCACTGCATCATGCCCAGGGCAGGAGTAGAGGAGATGGCAGTGCCTGATGCTTGGGGGGGGGGGTGGTCAGTGCTTATTGAGCATCTAGGAATGTGACTCCCACTCCCCACGAGCAGCAGACAGCATGTTCAACAAATGGCCAAGGTCAGGACCTCATCATTTCAAAGCAGCCTGCCCTGACTGGCTGGGGAACAGAGCTTCCCTACGCATGACATTCAAAGAAAGGCATTTACTATCCCTTAAGCTGTCTGGCTTACCAAAAGAGAAAAACACCTCCAGACAAAGGTGTGGATCTCAACCTCGTTTGGAAGTTCAAGGGTTCAGTGTAATACCTGTGACTGGGTTTCCTTACTCTGTTCAGCGACCAGGTAACACCTTATCCTGGAAGGCTCATTTCTGTGGTTTCTGAAGTGTGTGATTGTTGCCTAGGGAGCCAGGGTGTGTTGGGACAATGGTAGGTAGTTAGCACAAAGCAGCCTATGGCCCAGTGCAAGCCATACAAAGGCAAAGAGAAAAGATTTGGCTCATCTAAAGAACAAAATTGCTTTACAACCAAAAAGAAAAAATCCCTGCCATTCTTCTTTGGAGAAGAATACAACTGTATTGGGATCACACTCTTGACACTGCCAGTGTGGGCCCTGCCACCATGATAGGCAGATTCCCACAGCAGGCCCTGGGCTTCTAGTCACTGGCCTCTGTATTAACTTGGGGGTGCACTTCTGAAACTTTAGTTCTCCCCCAAAGAATCCTGGCCTTCTAGGCCCCTGGGGCCTAGACGGGGAATAATTGACGGCTGGGTCCCTTCCCCACCTGGGGAAGAAGCAGGGCCTCTCCACATTGGCCAGGGGCAAGCTGGATAGACCGGGCCTGTCATCAGGGAGCTGGGAGGCAGTGGCGCCAGCAGCAGGTGTGTCTAAAGCTGGATCCTGGGCTGTAGGATCCCTGCCTTAAAAGTCAGTCCTACACTTTAGAAGCTGGTTCAAGGGCATGCTTAAAGAAGGATCAGTTGGAATGTTTAGGGGAAGCTGGCAGATGGGAGCCCTGATACCTGCTACCCTCTGCCACAGAGAAGCTTCTCAGGTTGTAGAAGCTGTAGCCCCCTAGCTTTATCCAGCCTTCTCTCTTGGCACCCAGGAAGGCCACCTTTGCAAGGCTCACACAAGAGACAATGTGTGTGCACATGCAGAGCATCGGCAGCACTTGGCTTCCTGGGCCACCTGTGCTGACCTGGTGAACCCCATGCAGCCCACTGCAGGCCAAGCTCCGGTCTGTGCTGTGGCTGGCAGACATGCTGAGCATCTTTGGTAGGGCGGGGTCCTGACTGGGTGGGCTTCCCAAGGACACTGGGATTCAATCTCAGCATGCCAGGCCCAGGGGCCAGAGCTGGGCTTACTGAAGGGTCGGAGGTCAGCCTGCAGGAGTCCAAGCTCTCACAGCTGCCCTTCCAGCCTTGCTCGTTGGCCACATACCTGGATCAGACTCGTTTTGCTGGAAGAGACTTGTTTGTTCAGATGTCACCTAGAAAAACCATGTAAGTGTCCATGCAAGGTGGCAGGTCTCTTGGCCCACAAGCTCTGAGCTCAGACTTTTCTGCTACCTCTCTAGACCCTTAGAGGGCTCAAAAACCTGCTGCTTCACCCTCCTTTTCCAGCTCCCAAGGAAAAGATGACCCTTGGCCCTAGGCTCGTTCTCTGGTTCCTCCCTGAACTGGGCACTTGAGAGGCTGCTTTTCAAGTAAGGCCAAGCATGGCTCCCATGTGTCCTTGAAGGACACATGCTGAAGAAAATACAAACTTCCACAGGGCCATCCCACTGAGAAGAACAAGATAAATAGCACTTGCTCCAATTATTTTCCCAATGGTGTGTGTGTGTGTGTGTGTGTATGCTTTACCAAAGCATCTTGGGGCTCAGGCCCTTCCTGGCGGTGCTCCCTACCCTGAGGAATGCCACGGGGACACATGGGAAGAGGTTGAGAGGGACAAGCAGCAAAGCAACCTGCCTGGCAAGGCTAGAGAGCGGCCCACCTGGAGCCCCTGCAGCCGCCCAGCTGCTGTCCCCTGGGAACAGGCTGGGCGCCTCGTTTCCTGGGACAGGCTAACAGACAGCAACGTCAGATACAGCTGTACAAGGCCGGGCAGTGCTAGGGTGACCTTGGGGCCCCATGGAGCTCAGCTCTGCACACTGCCCTCACAGGCACCTGCTACTCTGCTCTGGTAGTCAGGATCTTACCTTGGTAGTAAAAAATTACAAATGAAGGCAGTGTGCCTTCAGACAGCTTGCCCCTTCTGGAATTGTGCGAAGACACCTCAGATGCACCTGCTGGCTTGGGAGGGAGGGAACACGCTGCCCCTCACCCCCCTCTTTTTTCCGGAGAGAATGAGCGTGCCTAAGCCACTAGCCCCACTTGGATTTCTGGTCAAGAGCCGCCTGCTTTGAAGACTGTTGGCCACACGTGTGGGCATGGGTGGTGAGTGGTGTCTGGGCAAGGGTGTGGGGTTCTGTCCTTGACTTTGCTGCTTAAGTAGACTTCTCAGCTGGCTCCAAAAACGTCCCTCTCAGACCCTGGGGACTGGGGCCTGGATAGCTCCAGCAGCTCCTGCGGGGACTGCGAGGCCCTCCTGGATGTTAATATCCTGAGGATCTCGGCCAGCTGCTTCTCGATGGTGGTCATTTTGGTGTTCAAGGCCTTGATGTCCTCCTTCAGCTCGTGTTTGACCTCCAGGACTGTGGCCTGCAGCGTCTGCTCGGGGATGGGGTAGAAGGAATGCTTGACCTCCGCCATGACGGGGCTCCGGTCCTGGGGACTCCGGGCCTCGCCCACGTTGTCCAGACGCAGGTCGCTCTTGGTGATGCCGCTGTCGCACGAGTCCGTCTTCTTCAGCGTGGCCTCGCCTGCCGCCTTCGTCCTCTCCGGGAGTGTCTCCATCGATTCAGCCTTGGATACTTTGTTCCAGTCCTCCCCCTTCCCACAGGCATCTTTGAAGCGAGCCCAGCCTTTGCGCTTGGCACAGTCACCTGCGCCTGCCTTGGGGCCCAGGCACTCAGACCCAGGAGCGTGCAGCTTGGCATGGTCCGACACGGCCGTGGTGGAGGCCGCCTGGAAGGCCACGGGAGTGGCGGGACTCTCTCGGACCGTGACCACGCTGGCTTTCACCAGGCTGTGGTTGGCCGAGGCGTGCTCCGTGAGGACACTGCCCTTTTCCACGTCCAAGTCATCCAGGTCCCGGCCGCCTCGCTCGGCCGCCAGGCGGGCCTCTTTCTGCTGCCGGAATCGTTGGAAGAGGCGCCGGACAGGGTGGTCGGGGGGCAGGATTAGCGGGGCCTCGTTCTTGCGCTTCATGCGCTCTTCCTCCTCCCGCTTTACGTCACTGATCTTCCGGAAGACAATCTGGAGGGAACAGACGTACACGCGGGGTTAACTGGGCAGGGCTCTGACAGTCAACCTCAGCCCTGTATCCCCACCTTGCTCATGAACCCTTAGCTTCTGACTGATGCTCATTTTCTTTCCCTAGGTTGACGAACGGGGCGTTTCAGAGGCCACCTACTGCAGATGGTCCTGGCCTCTGCCACACACTCTAACACTGTCCTTACTGCAATTCTGCAGCACATGGAGAGCTTTTCAGAAAGCATTTCCCACCCCGCCCACCTTCTCCAATGGACTGTTCAGCGGGCAAGTCCTGGAGAACTCTGGCCTCAGTGACCTCAGCTTGTGCTTCACCTCCAGGTTGGTGGCCTGCAGGCTCGGCTCCTAGATTGGATGGAATCAATTCTAGACCTACGCCTTGCAGGGGCTCCTGGCCCTGACCCCCAAGCTAGAGCAAACGGATGTAAGTGCTGGCCCCAGCTCTGCCATCTAGCCATGTAACCTCAGACAAGAATCTCAACTTCCTGCTGGGACCACTCAGCACAACCTTGGTGAAGGGATCATTTTCTGCGGCTGAGCCCAGAGAAATGCAACCAACACTGGCTTGCTCAGGGTTAGTGAAATGGCAAGGTGGAATGCAGTGCCTTCCACTTGGGTCACTCACAGCTGGACAGGTGGCTACATCTTCAAGCCAAGTTCTCTGAATCCCAGGATGTGGCTTCCTGACACCACTGAACAGCCTCCTCCTTGCCCCATGGCAGCCGTGATTTTGTAAGTGCCTCTCCTTGTCCTCTCCCAGATCTAAGCGCTACGGATTCAGGACAATCTTGCCCTCCCTGAAGGGAGCCAGAGAAACCAGCTGAAGGCATCCGAGGAACAGCGCACTGATGAGAGCAGAGCGGTCGGCATCCCTTCTTCCCACTGCCCAGTGCTCTGAGGGGGCTCACTGGCCGTCTTCTCCTTCATACCTCTGTGCATGCTATTTATTCTCTGGTCTAAGAATGGTCCTGCTCTGTATCCAAATCCTCCTCACACTGACCCCTGGCTCAAGCAGCACCTCCTCCAGAAAGTCTTCCATGATTCCACTGTGCTGTAAGTTCTCCTCCTGTCTCCTACCGCTGGCATTCTTTGCTGTGCTCACATTTGCCTTGCTGGTTTGAACTAAAGAGTACAACATTTTAACTAAAGAGGCAACCATTTGTCCACAGCCATTCTTTAAGAGGAAGAAGGATGGAAAGAGAGAAAATGGATGAGAAGATAAATTCCTTCCTTCTCTTACGCTCTCCCACCTCCCCCAGGTCAGACTACAGCTGACTGGTATGGTCCCTGCCCCCTCATGGACCCCCTTTAACTTGAACCAGGTGGAGTTTCTGTTTCTGTGAGCAACTATTTCTGAACAGGGTCCCAGTTATGTCCATGCATATCTTAACCCTTCTCCAGGACCTGAAACTAGAACAATATTTGCCATATTCCACCTGTTACACTTGCTCTTTCAAAGGAAACAAGTGTTTTTATGTTGTCTAGTTTGTTCTGTTTACTCCCAGCCTGGTAGCGGGGGACCCTGCCCGAGTATCTGTGGGAAGAATGTATGAATGACCAGCATAATGAGCAGCTGGTGAATCCACACCAGGCTAGCTCTGCGTACAGAGGTGAAAGCACAGCGGTTGCAGTTCCACGTTATGGATGAAACGGTTTGGCTCAGAACAGATGCCATCTTTTTATGACATCTGGACATCAGAGGGCTGGGGCAGCCCTTGAGATTTGGAATGGGATGCTCTAAGGTGAAAGGGAACCTTTCAGAATGAAAGTCACACAAAAGGCATCCTGAGCAGTGACCCAACAGAGTGCAGGCAGCGTTACCAAGACTCCACACGCACACACTAACGAGGGTAACCAGTACTCCTTGAAGGCGTGGCTTCACGGGCTTGCCAGCCCTGTGTCCCCTGGGTTGTGAGTGACATACATTCAGCTGCTCTGGCTGCTTGGCTAGTGGGGTCTGTCCAGGTACTCGCTGAGAGGAGACAAGAGTCTGACTGGGGTGCCACCCCTCCTGAAGCCTCTTGGCTTTGCCCAGGATGTCATATCCTGTGTTCCACGGCCATCTCAGCAGGCAGGGATGCAGGAACCAGCTTTCTGTCCCTGCAGAAATGCCTACACCCTCCTTTGGGAACCAGGAAATGCTCAGCGGCCACCAGGGGATGAAGCATTCGGAGCCTGTGCACAGTCCTGAGCTCTGACAGCTTTGTTGCCTTACTCCACCTGCTCTGTTTTGAGCAGTTAGTCATGGAGTCTCTCTCAAAACAGCCAGATCCAGGCATTTTGACAAATGCTCCAGATCTGAGTGTGTAGGGTGGCTATGGGACTCATGACGATGAGTTTGATGCCACCAGCCATCTCTGCTGCAGTTCCCCACAGTCTACGAACTATGGTCAGGACCTCAGACCCTAACTCAGGACACTATGCCAAAACACGGGCATGGCTGGCCTCTTCCTTTGTGACCTTCAGGAAGCATCTGCTTTAACAAACAGACTCCCACTTCCTGGAGAAGCCACAAAGACTTCCAAGGCCTTTACCACCTGATGTGGCATCAGGCTCCCTAAAGGCCCACCCTGTGATTTTTTCATTGCTGCCACCTGCTGGGTGCCCACTGAACTCAACAAATGGACAAGAAATCAATAATGGGTCAGTATATAATGGCCCAAGGCCCTATTTCTGTGGCCCGACGTAGGCAAAAGAATTGACATACCCTGCCCCAGACATCGACTTCTGATTAAATCAGAGAAAGAGCTCACGGGTGGACTACTTATGTACGGCACACTGGCTCCAGAAGAAGGGAAATGAGTAAATAAAATCTTAAAGGACTCCCATTTTCATTCATCTTCCTCACACACTGCCCTCCTATTGATCATCTCTGACTGATTTCATTTTTTAGGTTCTTATACAAGCCCAGAGAACTGATATTTAAAGAAGGTCAGAGATGAGCCTCTTCCTCCCCCCCCCCCCCCGCCTCCTCCGCCAGCGAGGGGAACTGCTCACTTTTTCTTTGCTTTCCATAGGAAGATCTAAGTTGACACAATCTGGTATCAAGAGAAGAGCCTGCATGCAGAGTGAAGACTGGAGAGCCTGTGGCAGCCCTGATGCCACTCAGGGCAGGGCTGTCTATCCATTGCTCGATGGTACAGCCCCCGCCTCCCATCTAGACAGCCTCGGGCTTGCTTGCTATGACTTTTCTGTGTTACATAGATTCATTATAGGTTTTCATTTGGGGGAAGGATTTTCTAGTCCCCCCTGAAAAGAACATCTTGAAGGGCCCTCCCAGAAAGCACAGAATCCAAATTTCTCATGAAAGAAATAGGGGTCTCCATCACAATTGGATGGTTGAGAAGACTAAAGCTTAGCAGGTAGTATAACCTGCTCACGCTCACACAGCTGGTCAGCGGTAAGACTTCAGGATATGGACTGCTGCTCTTGCCATCACGTCAGGGATTCCTGGGCAGGCACCATTCCATCAGGGGAACAGCAGGTTTGACTGGAGAGACTGTTCAAGCAGCCCTCTAGTTCACCCACTAGAAAGGCTAAGCCCTGAGACAGACCACTTCTCTGACCCTGACCTTGGTCAGCACATCAGGGCAAGGTGAGCCTAGAGCCTTTCTGGATTCAGCCAAAGTCCTGCCAGTCCACAGATACAAGCACCATCTTCTAAAGTTTGTACGAAATGCATATTATGGAGAAAGTATGTGTGGATTTCAAGATTTGTCTATCAAAATAATGATGCTGTTCAGCTTATGACTTATCCAAAATAGAGGGCCAGTGCATGGCTGGCTGCTCTGCCTTGCTTACCAGACTGGTGTCCCTCAGGCCCTGAGCCTGGAAGACCTACATAAATGAGGTTGAGCTCAACAGATCTGACAGATCCTTATGCTACAGGGCTTTCTGGGCCACTGTTTTCAACTGTACTTGAAAAGCTAGTTTCCCCTGGGATATGTGGTGAGTCAGAACAATCAGTTACCTCTTCAGGGTAGCATTGAAAGAGGGCCCAATCCTCAAGTTCCAGCCAAGATGAGGCTGGCATGGGAGACAGGAGTCCCTTAACAAGAGGGTTTCCAAGACACACAGGGAAAGGAGGGTCTGGGAGGGGAAATGCACAGAGACATGGCAACATCACAAAGAGGGATCAGATACTTCAAAGAGCCCGACTGTGGAATTGAAATCTATACATCTAAATAGACTCCTCACAGGTTTGAATAGGCAAGAACTGAAGCATGGACCAACCCAGAAACAACTGCAGTATTTTCTGTTGGATTCAGACATACACTCAACTCTGGTGTGAGGCCCACTGGGCTACACCCTAGCCACTGCATGACCCTGGGCAAGTCAGGCCTTCCTTGATCAGATCCACAGTTGTTAGGTCTGGTGAGGGTCTCCCCTCCTGAGAGAGAATTCCCCATGGCAGAGTGAAGAGGAGACATGGGCAAACAGGTCCCTCAGAGGTAGGCAGCTGATCTAGCGTGTTAAGTAGGGTCTGGAACTCTCTGGCCTGGAGAATGGTGAGGCCAGTGGCATTTGCAGTCTTCCATGTAGCAGCAGTGTAGCCCCATACCTCCCCAGCACCTGTGCACCACTCTGCTTGCACATACCATTCCAGCCCACCTGTTCACCTGCAGGGAGTGGTCTCCAGCAGTCTCAGTCCCTGGTCCCTGACAGATGATTGATGGGGTCTTGAAACCCTTTCTTCCTTAGGCCCAACACATATAGCTAGCTATGTAGAGTGGGGAACACCAAGCCCAAACGGCTGAGAACCTGTGGTATGCAGAGCACTCCACATGGGAAAGAAACAGCTGTGTCTCCTCAAGGCACTGGAGTCCATGCTGGAGTCAGAGAAAGCATCTGGAATGTGGGACCCTGCAGGCCCTGGTGCCGTGGCTGTCCTTGGCTCCTGCGTCTGCACCCACCAATTACCCTGCCTGGTTTTATGGCAAAGCGTAAAACAAAGACTAACAAACTGAGCTGTCTGACAAGTTGTA